CTTCAGCTTCATCGACTGGTGGAAGACAAAAGGAAGAGTCAACGCTGTTCTTTTACGCCTTTATTAGAGGATTCACAGTTTTTCTTTTTGTTGCTGTAAGTGGCAAAGGGACATTTTACACTATGAAGACTGAAGACTGTTGAAGCCTCATATCAGCTTTGAACTTCGATAAAGAGGAATGGAACTGATTATCCATCGTGAAAGATGACTTAAGGAAAGAGACTGAGCAACAGATATCACAAGTGAAAGATGAACTTAAGACATTGTGGATTAGTGAACAATTAAAGTTTCTTTCAGTTAAAATAGTCCATCCATCCATCGCTTTTGCAGGGAAGCAGCAGCCTAAGCAGTGCTCATCCAGTGGAACACCAAGGCATTCCCAGGACACCTGAGAGGTGTAATCTCTTCATCGTGTGAAGTGGACCTGCTTCCCAGTCAGACATGCCCAGAACACCTCAGCCAGGAGGTGCCCAGGAGCATCCTCGTCAGATACTCAAACCACCTCAATTGTCTCCTTTTGAAGCAGAAGACTAGCAGCTCTACTTGCAGTCCCTTCAGAATCACTGAACTCCTCACTCTTTCTCCAAGGGAGAGGCCAGTCACCCTTCACGCAGTCACAGAAATGAGAGAAAGCTCATTTCTGCTGCTTGTATCTGCATAATTTATTCTTTCTGTCAACATCCAAAGCTTGTGACTACAGGTGAGGGTAGAGACTAATCGGTAAATCGGCTCAGTGTCCCCAAACAGTCTATCAATCTGTAATAATGCAATACTCTGCAGTGAAGCTTGAGAAACAGACCGAGAATGCCCCTCTATGGCAAAGACATTCCCTCCATCAGCGTTCTCCCCCAGCTGGACAATGCACCCTGACAGTGCAAAAACTGCCACGAACAAAGAGCTAAAGGCACGGACCTGTTGCTAGTTGAGGAACTGTCTATGCACCAGTTGGTCAGAGTTATTTTAACGGCAGAAGGAAGACATTCACAACATTAGGTAGTTAGTTTTAAGATTATCGGCTGACTGGGGTATGTTCTTGGAAAGGTTTTAAAGCTGTGTTAAACATTTTTAGAAGGTGTTATTGGACAAGAAACATCCAATCATCCAATAACGTTTCAGCATATGAAAAATGAAGTAATCTGATAGAGCTAAACTGTCACTTTGGATTTCAATCAAACCTCTACTCATCACAAATATCTTGAATACTACAAAAATAATAGAAGGAATGAAAACATCCATAAAAAGTACTTTAAAGCCAAAATCAGCACTGACTTACGTATGAATCCTGTGGTTGGAGGAGACAAAACATTTCAAGAGATCTAAAGAGAGACTTTTCCAGTTATCGCTCAGGAAATGAGTAGGTGATAGGTCACAATGTAGGAGCCAATCAAAGGCAAACACTAGGTGATGCCCACAACGAAAGAACAGATGTGTTAATGTCTTTACCTTGGGCACAGCAGCTTGTAGGACCACATTGTGAACAGGCAGGGGTGCTGTATTAAGCATCGACACCACCATTACCAACACGTCAGGCCGCCCAGGGGGACAGTCAGAAGCAAAGTTGAGCAGCATGCGAACGCCATCCTTGTCATATGCAGTCACAGGTAAGACTTTACCTGAAGACACAGAGAATAGCCAGTCAAGCAGAGGCAGCCATTAACTACCCTCTCAGGTGCTGAGCCCTGTCTTTGTCTCTTACTTGGTCTGATGGCCTCCAGAGGGACGTGTACGTTGCTCAGGGGGATTTCATTGGCTCTAGCCGGGCTGCCCTGGAGTGGAGGGTGGCAAGGGGACAGAGAGCGGAACAGCGGACTTCCTGGGGCTGAGTCGAAGCTGTGAGCCTTCACATGGGATAAGGCTGGAGAGCCAGGCAAGGGTCCTTGGAGAAGAGCCGCTGAAGAGGGCGAGCCCTGCACAGGTACGAGGGGCGGTGCTGCTGCAGGCACTCCAAAGCTGGTTCCTCTGGCCGTCATCTGGTTGGATAAACTGAAAATCCCATTTAATAAATGCCAATAAGACCTCACAGTGCTGTTCTTGGAAAGTATCGGATACTTATGCCAAAATATCCTTAGATTAGTGCTTTACAAGACAGAATTGCAGAAACCTTGCTACTTTGAGAATTTAAAATACAGGTTTCAAATAAACAGTGGATGGAAAAATGTGAATAGATCACCTCTTGTGATCTGAAAAGCCCATCATGGCCAGGTCCTGCAGGTTCTGTAGACTGTGAGTGACAGCTGGCTCAGCTGGTGGCACCACTGGACCTGAACAAGCTATGCTGCCAAACATACCAACACTTGTTGCTGGGGCCTGTGGAGGACAGGAGGAGGAAAGATAATTTACACACTGTTACACACTGACTACATATCTGCAGTTAGTTATCCTAGAGTACCTGCAAGGAACTCCACTGGTTGGAGATTTCATCCAGCTTTGGTTTTGATTGGCTGCTCTGAGAGGTAGGAGGGTCATTCAGTCCTGGGAGATGATGCAGGCATTTGTTATCATACAAGACTTTTTTTTCTTTATCTCTCATAAGATACAACAAAAACATGACTCGTTAGATGGTTTTCTCATTTAGCGCTTCACTAAAACACAATAAAAGCACATTTCCAAAACTGTCAAACTGTTCCTTTAATTCAACGAGACACGTTGGGGATGCTCTACCAAGAGACAGTAGCTCATCATCCAGGAGAGAGAGTGCAGTGAAGGCCTTGTTGGCAGGGGGATGACTCGGGCTGCTGCCCTGACTGCCAGCTAGGCGTTTGGGGGGAGGAGGCAGGACGGGGATGGGGATCACTGTGAGATCAGCAGCGACAGGATGTGAGGGCTGGGGTGGTGGAGCAGCAGGCTGTGGAGGGCTCGGAACATCAAGGCCGGCGAGGTCGATCAGTGTATCTGTGGTTTCTGCTGAGCGACACAGACATGAAAAGAAAATGCAGCAGATGTATTAGATACAAAAGGGCAATCAAGTTTCTAGAAGAAAAAAAAAACTCTGACCGCTCTCGCTGTGACCAGCTGTCGATAGAGGTTCTTCACTGTCGCCGTTGATTGGTTGCCCCTCAACAATCTTCTTATAGGCGTTGATGACTCTGGAGAGGTCATCGCTGGCCTGGAGGATGTCACCTGAGGAGCCGAAGGTCAGTGGTTATAGATTTTACGCACAAAAAGTGAAGACAGGGCTTGCTCAGTCAAACCGAGACCAATGTGACAAACCTAAACTGGTGTCATTGTCCTCCGTCTCAGTGGCCATTTTGAAAGCAGCTCGTCTCAGCTTGTCACAGCGCTCGTAGAGCTCCTGAGAGGTGACACAAAGGACGTGCTGTACGGTTAGCGTGCAGATGTGACACCAGCTGCTGTGTACTGCTGCTGTTAGAAACTTGACAGACATTAAAGAATTTGAAAATATCAAATGAAAACATCAGGTTCAAACTATATTTGTTAAAAAACGCCGTGCATTCAACCCACAATGAAATGATAAAACAAATTACTGGAGTGCAAAATATGAATTACTTTATCTGTGCCTTTAAATACTAAATTGAAAATATCTGTTCCAACTTTTTCCATTTTCTGATTGTTGAGTAAAGAATAAAGAAGATGATCCTGTTGAATTGTATGTGTGCTTTTTCCCCCTGCAGGGACCAACCAGCAATTTCCACACAAAGTGCCAAAATCTGCAGTTCCCTAAACGGCCACTTGAGGCTGGTTCCAAATATGAGGTTAAAATTTCAAATTTTTCAGTAGAAAAAAAAACGTGCATGTGTCCTGTATAGGTCATTTTCCCCCTTCACAACAACTTTAGACATTGTTTTTGTACATTTGCTGCTGTACTTGGGGTTATTGTTGTACTGCGTGACCCAATTTAAGCCAAGCTTCAGCTGTCAGACGGATGGCCTCCCAACTGTGTCCAGAATGGTTGGTAAACAGAAAGGTTTATGGGCAAAATGACTGCAAGGTGCCCTGTGGCTGCAAAACAAGCCTGAATCATCACCCATCCACCATCATTTGAATGACAGGTGGGTCATCAACACAGCAGGCTTTAGTTGTTAGCGCCTTGCTGAGCTAAATCAAATGACTGAACTGGAAGTGTCTGCTATGTTTATGGTGTTTGTGCGTTTTTGAGCATTTTAATTCAGTATAGCATTGCATAGCTATCCATTCAGTTAAATGTACTCATCCAGTCCAACAAGAATGTGCTTCCATTTTTTAAATGAAGATATTATTTCATTTGCAATAATTAGCACGTGACTTTGTCTGTGCCTGTGCGATTCATCTCGCAGTCTATCGATGTAGTTTCCGAACAAACCTAGCTAGCTGATAACTCAAAGCTGCACCATCTTGTCCAGTTATGGCCACTTTTGGTGACTAAAATCAATCTCAAAAAGGCAGCTCACAAGCCTGTGGGTTACATCGCAGTGGTCACCTCCATCTGTTATATACAGTATATGGCATGGACGCACACCTTAATAATCTCCTTGTCTGAGTCAGTGGAACTGTCTTTATTGTAGTGGGACAGCATCTCGGTCAGTAGCTTGACGTTGATGTTCACCTCCTCCAGTGTGTGCATTCGCTTTGTAACCTTCTGCACCCGTGCCTCATCCTGGCAAAATATAAAACCCAATAAAGGGTTTTACATCAGAAAAATAGTGCAAAGTGCATTTGAAAAAGAATACAATGGCTGCGGTAAATAGTCTCATTCAAAAGGGTCTGACATGTCTCACCTCTTTCACCATGTTTTTGATTAATCTGTTGGCTTCCTGAAGATCTTCTGGGTTTTTACTCCGGAGAAGCTCAGCAAGCAGCTACACAGACACAGACATCAGTCTGCTTGTTGTAATAATATAAGTATACGGAGAATATTTACACTAAAACAAATGATTTCAATAGGATGAGGCAATCTCTCACCTTGCCCATGTCCTCGTTGTCAAACACAGGATGTTTAGGTCGCGTTGGAGGAGAAGGAATCAGAGTCCTGTCCAGCGGTAACTCTGGGTCATGTGCCACAAGGCCTGTCAGAGAGCAAGGACAGGACTGAGGAAGATGTGTCTTTATATCATTTATGCTAATCTGACTGATCCACATCCACACATACCCTGTCTCTTCAGTGTCTGGTAGGCTTCACCGATCTTGGTTTCACTGGGAAAAGCGACGGTCCAGCTGTACAGCATTTCAACAATCTTCAATTTCACCTTCTCAGGTGCACTGTCGCCCATGTACTGGAAATACAAAGCAATGACTCATTAGCCACTCAGCACGTGTTTTATCAGCACGAAACCTACCTGAAGACGACCCACCTTTGGAGAAACAACTTTAATCAGCTCATTCAAAAATCTATATTTTCCGACTTCATTGTGAAACCGTCTGCCGCAGTTCTTCATACACGCCTCCAGCACCTGCCCACACGACATTTATGTGAATGGTTGGTTTAGCAGTTTGTAAAAATGTGCTTGCTGACGGTTCTGTGCAGCGTTTCTTACTGTCAGAGCTTGAAGGGCTTCCCATTCTTGTGGAGAGTGGATTTTGTGTACGAGCAGCGTTACGGCTATCTGGGGACTGCAAAAAAAAGAGATCGGAAAGAAAAAATAAATCCATAAATATATTCCTGTGCTAGTTGAAAAAAATTAAAATGCATTAGACGTTACCCTTCCAGTTCCTTGTTGATCTGATCACAGAAGCCAATGATGTACTCCCAATCCTCTTGCCGGTTTGTTGGATGGGTGGCTTTATCTGTAAGAGAAAGACCAGTTCACCAACTAAACATATGCCATTAAGTAGCATCTTCTTCAGTGAATCTGATGGGTTCCTTCCTGTGAAAAGGGAGTTTTTCCTTCCCACTGTCACCATGTGCTTGCTTAAAGGGGATTGCCTGATTGTTGGGGTTTTCTTTGTATTATTGTACGCCTGGAGGCCACTGTAGTTGTGATTTTGCGTTATATTAATAAAACAGAAATTGGGTCAGAAAACTGCATATAACATAAAGCTCGACATTTACTCACTCCAAGTAAAAAATCCAAAAACAAGCAGGCTAAAAAGTAGTTCTGCATTAATTATCCTCTCTGACCAATATTTCTAAAGAATCTGATATTATCGGACTGTTGATAGTGGTCATCAGTGATGTATTATTATTAAGGCTAATCAGCTGAATACTTTGTATACAGAGAGTTTAGTCTGACCCATTGTGATGATGAGGAAAAAAAAGAAAAGCTCTGAACCAAAAAAAAACAAATAATAACATAAAACAAAAAAAAAAATCAACATAAATATCAGGATTTGTTATTGGCCAAAATGTTCATTTAAACATCAGTATCAACACAGAATTCACAACCACTGCGTCCCTAGTTTTATATTTGATGTATTTAATATTAATCTGTTTTTATTTGGTAATATGCGAGACACATAAACACAACACTTGAAGTCAACAGACTCACAGACATCCCACAAGCATCTACACCATCGCCTCCTTATTCTTTCTCTACAACCACGTTTTTAAAGACTGAAACTAAAAACACAGACCTGTATATAAACAGCCCCAAACACTCCCCTCCTGGTCATGCGTCTATAAATAACTACTTGCACCACACACCTGTTTGCCCTTGTTATCCTGCCCCACCCCACCCTTAACCAGTCTAAAGGTATCTGGCATCAATCCACAGTGAAAGCCTCCTCCAATCCAAGCCTGAGGCCTTGCTCACTGCTTCATTATCAATAAATATTTATCATTCACATTTGGGGTTGGGGGTCCTTAAGTTTCTGTGGCTAATTACTAAGAGAAATCTGAAATGTGATAAGCTTTGAGGGCTCACACCCCTTGCTTCCTTCTCTGCAATGTTTACTCTGCAGATTGTCAAAAGACGTGGCTGATCCTTTTAGTTTTTTAGTGTATTCAGTCCTTTATCCACCACCTCAGATTTCCAGTCATCCACATACAGCACACACTGACTCACCCCCGTCTTGGGTAAACAAACTTATTGAGTAACCTGGGTTACCTGGTTTAATCTTCACAATACCTTCTATTTAAATGTTTGCACAATCCAAATCTCAAAAGCCAAAAAAACAAAACAAAACAATATTTCTTACATATATATACACATGTATGTATATACATTAACTATATACACACATGTGAGTCCCGTATGCTGACCCCGACAATGCAGTGACTGTTACAACTCCTCCCCTGTGTAATAACAGATGCATTGTCCACAGTTTCCAGTGTTGTGCATTCATCTCCCACACCCATCTGTTTCTGCCATGAAAGCTGCGCTCAAGCTGTACAGCGTGGGGTAACTATCCGCGGAGCTCCGCGCCTCTGCACAATCACTGCACGCACTGATCTGTCACTGGCAAAGACTTGTGTTTATTACAGCTCTCCACCCATTCAGCTAAACATGCAGACAGTGATTGGACTGGGCTGGCAGCCTGGATCTCTGCTCAAACTGCAGGAAAGACGCTTTCGACGAGGCGCTGACAGCTTCTGCACACGCTGATTTTCTCCTCTGTCACAGCGGAGCAACGCGTCTAGCTAATTAGCCATGCTATTTAATTAATAAAAATGGGATTAATAACTCACTGAGCCAAGATTCAAGCGACTCTAATCTGACTGATCCACATCCACACATACCCTGTCTCTTCAGTGTCTGGTAGGCTTCACCGATCTTGGTTTCACTGGGAAAAGCGACGGTCCAGCTGTACAGCATTTCAACAATCTTCAATTTCACCTTCTCAGGTGCACTGTCGCCCATGTACTGGAAATACAAAGCAATGACTCATTAGCCACTCAGCACGTGTTTTATCAGCACGAAACCTACCTGAAGACGACCCACCTTTGGAGAAACAACTTTAATCAGCTCATTCAAAAATCTATATTTTCCGACTTCATTGTGAAACCGTCTGCCGCAGTTCTTCATACACGCCTCCAGCACCTGCCCACACGACATTTATGTGAATGGTTGGTTTAGCAGTTTGTAAAAATGTGCTTGCTGACGGTTCTGTGCAGCGTTTCTTACTGTCAGAGCTTGAAGGGCTTCCCATTCTTGTGGAGAGTGGATTTTGTGTACGAGCAGCGTTACGGCTATCTGGGGACTGCAAAAAAAAGAGATCGGAAAGAAAAAATAAATCCATAAATATATTCCTGTGCTAGTTGAAAAAAATTAAAATGCATTAGACGTTACCCTTCCAGTTCCTTGTTGATCTGATCACAGAAGCCAATGATGTACTCCCAATCCTCTTGCCGGTTTGTTGGATGGGTGGCTTTATCTGTAAGAGAAAGACCAGTTCACCAACTAAACATATGCCATTAAGTAGCATCTTCTTCAGTGAATCTGATGGGTTCCTTCCTGTGAAAAGGGAGTTTTTCCTTCCCACTGTCACCATGTGCTTGCTTAAAGGGGATTGCCTGATTGTTGGGGTTTTCTTTGTATTATTGTACGCCTGGAGGCCACTGTAGTTGTGATTTTGCGTTATATTAATAAAACAGAAATTGGGTCAGAAAACTGCATATAACATAAAGCTCGACATTTACTCACTCCAAGTAAAAAATCCAAAAACAAGCAGGCTAAAAAGTAGTTCTGCATTAATTATCCTCTCTGACCAATATTTCTAAAGAATCTGATATTATCGGACTGTTGATAGTGGTCATCAGTGATGTATTATTATTAAGGCTAATCAGCTG